AATAACACCAATATTATTATAAGCCGCTGCTATGTCAGGTGGATATTTGATTTCTTGTTCTTGAAAATTTTCCAGTGCTCGTTTGAAATATGTCATTGCATTACTATAGTCATTGCTACTGTAATACTAAAGTCCTTGATTATTGAATATTTTACCGATTGATGAATGATTCGCAGTTAACGCTTTTGTTATCAAGTTAATTGTATCTTCGATTGGAGCTGCACTACTGTTGGTAGCAGTAGTTGCAGAATAAAGAGTCTGATTGCAATGCTGTGCTATGACATGTTCTGTACATCTGACCACTTCTAACGCCATCTCATTAATGTTGTGCGAATTATTTCTTGTCTTTTCATTAATGTATTCGATTGCTTGATTAATATAAACGGCAGCATCATCATGATTACCTCTTTCGTATTCCAGACAAGCAAGATTATTCAGGATTGTTGGTTTGTCTTCATGATCTTCAGGTAGATCTTTGAATAATATCTGATAATATCTATTAGCTTTTTCAAATTCCTCTAGTTCTGCTAAAAAGTTTCCTAACGTCAGACATGTTGATACTTCACCTAATTGTTTTTTTAAATATATGGACGATAAAGGAAACATGAACTATTCATATATATGTAATTTCAAATATGATCCTAGCAAATTTCATCAATTATGGTGGTATTGTCCAGAGAAAAAATGTGACGAATTGTATAAAAGTATATTTGTCGTTCATGAAGTTTGTGGAGAAATATTTGAAGCTGTAAGCAAGAATTTCTAGGTAACTGGATATTTTGTTTTTTATATAATCATGAAATAATGTTTTTTAAAACTGTCATATTTAAGATAACAGTCTTTTCATCATTGACAATTGCTTCAATGATTTGTTCATGCAGATCAAATTTGAAAACACAAATATGTGTAAACGTGCTATCGGTATAATGATGCATTTGGGTCATTCTATGATAAAAGATCCGGGAAAGTACAAAATTTACAGAAACGACGTGGAACACCAGGAAACCAGGACCTGCATTGTCACTTGCTTAATTTCGTCTATGTAATTCTGATACTACATCAGTAAGTGGATGCTAATAAAAATCTCGTAAATAAAATCGGCGCCTCTTTTAAGATAATGTTGTTGTTGTTATCCATTCAGTCGATGCCGACCCTTGGTGATCCTCTGGACAAAGCGTCTCCATTCGCTTCTATTATCGACCAGGTTCTTCAATTGTTGCAGCGTCAGTTGCGTGTCTTCTGTGATCGAATCGATCCATCTTGTTCGTTGTCTTCCTCTTCTTTTTCCTTCGATCTTTCCCAGCATTATTGTCTTTTCCAGCGAGTCATGCTGTCGCATGATATGCCCGAAGAATGATAACTTCAGTTTGAGTATGGTAGATTCTAGAGCGAAATCAACGTTTTGTTAACCTTCAAGGAATCAGTAAGTTTATTTACCTCTTCTGTTGATAAATACGTGTATAGATGTAAATGTACTGAATGTGCATTTAGTTCAGGCTTTTCTGAAGTCTGTTCAATCTCTTTCCGTATGGTTCCACTGGCGCCTGTTTCACTCTCATATCCATAAAAGAATTTGTTTTTGATCGCGGTGGGACTTTCGCATGTCATTGGTTTACTGTTGGGTTAAAGGTGTCGTATTGTTGTTGTGCGCCCCTTGTATGATTAAATGTTAATCCGTGTACTATGGGAGACTTGTGGATCTTAACAAATCTTAGTCTTCTAACCGAATGTGCTTTTGAAAACCTGCAAAGATTTCTTAATAATACCGCATAACAGCTTGCACCTTATTTCATTTCTCTACACTTTTTTTCTTTTTCTTCTTACATCAAGCAAATATAAGTTTTTTTCTTCTTTAACCTATATTTATTGAGCCAGAAGAAAAAGTATAGCACGAAAAAACAAAGAGGCAAAAACATGAAAAATCAAAGTGACTTAAATCTAACTGCTGTTTACTCGAAAGTAGAGGAAATATTACGAACAACCATGAACAACTATGAAACTACATTATTCTGTTTCGGTATCGAAAAGTGAACCATCTGTCAGTTTTTTGAGACCTAGAAATGCGCAGGTGTTTTTTCGATAAATTTCTTTGTTTAGACTGCAGCTTAGTGTAAAACTAGTTGCATAAGTAAAAAGATCAAGAGTACAATGGAAACATATTCATACTCTCTAGCAGATTTTTAATTAGAAAAACAATTTTCTACAAAATCTTTTGATCCAAAACCACTTGAAAATCACATATATCGATAAAATAACCAATTTCCTTCAAAACGACACATTTTCGCGGTCATCCTACAATGTTTTGGGCAACGAGCGCGTTCTTTCAGTCGAAAATCCGATCAAACCCGAAGTCAGAATGGAATAATTACTAGAAGAATGTCTTAAAGACTTAACTCGTGACTAATATAAACGTTGTGTAAATAATTGTGTACTTTATCAAATACCTAATTGGACTCAGGAAAACCTAAAAGTTGATCACATATTCATTGACGAATTTTTTCAGTAAATAAACTATCATCTGGCACTCTTCTTTTCCTTGGAAAAATGAAGATGAAGATGGAACACAAATTGACAGCTGATTAATAGATACCTTGCAACAGCGAACTTTGTACCTTTAGCTCAGCCATTTTTCTAGCACATGTTTACGTGTTCTATGACCCCGTAGAAGATTATGTCAGAAATTTCCGAGCAACAATACATCGATATTTGTCTTCGATGTTTTATCTTTCATGCAAATTTGAGATCAATCGGACATGTGCCTCGCATTTGCCAACAAGGCGAAAACAAGCAGGCTACTCTGAATAGCAAAACCTGTTGCTGCAGTGACACTTATTGTCTTTTCCAATTCCACGAGATTTTTTGTTGCATTTTTGTACATGTTGATAAACTGTATTTGTTCCGAACGTAACACATACTAAACGTATTGTGTATAGAAACAATTTCAGTACAGTTATTTAGTATCACAGTTTCATGGATTGTTAAGGGGATAACCCCAACAGAAATTCAAATTTTCTGTAAAAATTGCGATATAAACTTATACATGCGCTTAGATAGTCTTTGGCATCAACTTTCAGAATCCATCTTATAAAATCATATACCTATGGTTTTTGAGGAATTTTGAACACGGTTTCTAACAACCCTGGAAGACTAGGCTTTTGAAAAACCCACGAATTCTCCTCAGAGTTCGATAATATTCTGTAATTTCATTATTGGCATATATGAATACCCTACCTGAGCCCACGGGCCGCTATAGAGAAACGAACCATATAGTCGTGATCCCTATAGCTTAAAAAAATTTCGACGCTTAGGATCCTACTTTTCTCTCTACAGGATTGGTTGCTGCTTTTTCATTGGCGCTAAACTCGATTAATACTGATATTTTCCTGCAGCTGTAGTAAATTGTAAAATTTGAAAAACTTAGGACATTTAATGAGCTGCAATTGCCGAAAATGAAATAAGCAGGTCACAGCAAAATAGAACGACCGTTGAAATATTAGAACGGCGCCAAACTTTCTCATAAAAAATGTCGTTAATTAAGCATGGCGCGAAATAGCTACCTAAAGAGAGAACTCATTTCCTTATGAGACACGACGATCTTTGCTTTCATTTCTTATGCCACTTTTCAATGCTAAAGAGTTTTAAAAATAGTAATGAACTAAAATATTAGAAAACTGCGTACTTTTTCCACGGTGAACAGAATAACTAGAAAATTGAGTTTTGTGCATGAGATTAGATAAATATGCTAGGGAATAAATTTTATCATTCTATTTTAACTTTTTTCTGGGGTGAACATAATCTAGAAGCTAGCATGAAAGATAATCATTATAATTATCTAAGTTTCTTTAAACACGAAATAATTATTTCTGGAAAACGCTCGACTTGACGACGTGTGAAGTAACGCTTGAGCAAAAAGGCTTGCTGCAAGAAAGTCATAATTCAGAAAGCGATTTCCATTTATTTGAAATCCTTTTTCAGCCATGATAAGGTCGTGTTCTATTCGGACTTTTTTTCGAGAACATGATGTAATCAAGCTTCGCCATACAGTTGTCTTTATGTACAAGCAAAAAGTTATTCTAGTGGAAATCATGGCTGAAAAATGAAAAGTTTTTCTGCCACTAAACTTACTAAACAACAAATGAGCCTCAACTTTAATATGAATGAATACACAGCACTTTCGAATCATCACTTTTTGCATGATGTTCCCGAAGAAAAAACCGGGTAAAACATGATGCAATAAAGTAAATAATTTGATTTGATTACTTCAGCCCTCGAAAAGTATAAGATACTTAGGGTTGACCAAAAGTTCGTAGAACGGCGATTCCGCCCTCCCCTCCTCACACCGTGATCAAAACTTTTGGTCAGCCCTAAGTATATTC